GCTGCGGGCCCGGCGCACCCTCGGACGCCGAGGTGCTGCACCTCTGCCGCAGCCTCGAGGTGGGCACCGTCATGACTTTGTTCTACTCCAAGAAGTCGCAGCGGCCCGAGCGGAAGACCTTCCAGGTCAAGCTGGAGACGCGCCAGATCACATGGAGCCGCGGCGCCGACAAGATCGAGGGGGCCAGTAAGTGCGCCCGTCCCTGCCCCGGCCCAGCTGCGCGCGCGGGGGTGGCGGGGGTCCTGGTCCAGCTCCCCGCGCCCCGGGCCGGAGTGACTTGGGCAAACTTTCGGGCCCTCCTCCACCTATTCTGGGCCACGCCCCCGCCTCGTCTCCGGTGGTCACCGAGGGCGGGGGGCATCCGGGTCCTCGGTCACCTGACAGGACACCCCTTTCCCCAGCTATGGGGAGTGTTTGTCCTGAGGCCTAAAAGTCCTCGCGGGCTGGAGGTCAGCGGGCAGGCATAGGTCCCCTCACAGGCCCCGGGAAGGGGGGTCGCAGCGGCGAGGGGAGCCAAGGCAGCGGCCCCCACCCAGCCAGAGAACCTGGGGCCAGACCAGACGGTCACCACCCACCATTCTTTCTCCAGGAGGAGCTTTCTGTGAAACTCTTTGGGCTCCCAGGCTGGGCTCTTATTTGGAGAGGAACCTTTGGGTTCCCTAAGTAGAAGTTAATCAGATGTTGGGGTAGGGCTGGCTTAGGATTAGAGCAGGGCCTACTCATCTCCCTCTTGGGCAGAGGGAGCAAGGTAGTTCTGTTGGGTTTGGAAAAGCCTGAGAGAAAGCAGTGGCTGCTTTCCCCCCCACTGTTCTTTTGTTCTGAAGCTGAGTTTTGGAGGCCTGTGTGGGTGGGCAGACACCCAAAGCCAGGGCAGGAGCTCTTGGTAAACGGGCCAGGTTCTCCTTGCCCTTGAAAGCACGTTTCCAGGAATGTGGCCCCAGAAGGGCCAGCCCCAGTGCCTTGGAATCAGGTACTTGTCTCAAGAGCATGTGGCCAGCTTGGGGTCTAGCCTTTTGTATCCTGTGTCCGGTGGCTGCAGGGAGCCGGGAGCGGCTCCTCTTGGTTTCCTGCCTTTTTGCCTTCCCAGGCCTAAGCTTGGCCGCTTTTGTGCAGGTCTGTGGTGGGAGGTGGGAGTTGGAGGACTTTGAAAAAGCCCAGAGTTTTCAGAGTGTTGTTCCACTTAGCGCATGCCTGAGCTATGGCCAGGTGGGCATTCAGCTCTTTCTTCCATCCCCCCGCCTCCCAGTGTGAAGAGATGATGTGTCTGCAACCCAGACTGAGAATATTTTCCTGCAAGGACCTCCAGAGACTAGTCCTAGAGAGAACCAGGCTCAGAACCAGGTCTAGGTAGAGAAGGGAGTCAAGAAGTGACAACCCAGGAGAGGTTCCCACAGACCTTCTTGGGTATGGTGAATATGATGTAGATGGGTGAGATTGGGAGGAAGGAAGGTCTTGTGGTGAGGCAGCCATCCTCAGATACAAACTCCAGATCTGACACAGCTGCTGAACTTAGAAATGGCAGTTGCCTTCCTCAGTGCCCCCAGTGTCCCTCTCAGCCATTAAGAGAACATTTTGGTGATTTGAGAGACTAGATTCCATAGTGGAGGAAGGATAGACACTGCAAAGAGCTGAGATAGTCCCGGGAACATTACCCAGACATCAGACTCCAGATCCAGTTCCCTTCCTTGCCTTTGTGATGCTCCCTGTGCTGTGCTAAGTTGGTGGCACTGGCTGGAGGTTCCCAGATAGAGATTTCCTGGGTAAGTGGCTGCATTTTAAACCCTGCATGTGACCAGCAGGCAATAAGTGTAGCACAGTGGTTGAAGGCAGGTCCGGACGTGAAGCCTGTTTGTTAGTTTTATGTCCCCCAGCCAATTACTTACCTTTTCTGAGCCATAGTTTACTCATCTTTAAAATGGGTGTAATTGGGCCGGTCCGGTGGCGCTCCCGCCGAAGGTTCGGATCCCACATACAGACCGGCCGCTCACTGGCTGAGCGAGGTGCGGACGCAGCACCGAGGGTTGTGATCCCGTTGCCGGTCCCGGTCTGGTATGGGCGCGACACTGAGGGTTGCAATCCGTTGCCGGTCACGAAAAAAGACAAAAAGGAAAAATAAATAAATAAAAATAAAATGGGTGTAATAATATATCCACCAATATATGGTCGTTCTGGGGATTCAATGAGATAATGGATGTAAAATATCACTCCTTGCACATTGTAAATGTGTCGGACACATGGTAAATGTTTAATAAATGTGAGCTGACACATTGCAGTGCCTGACACTTTGTAAACGTTTAATAAATGTGAGCTGTTACTAATAATAACAATAACAATAACAGACCATGACTGCCCTCCTAAACCCTGGACTGGGAGTGTTGAGGGCAGTGGAGTGTGGCTGTAGGAGAGGGCAAAGGTGCAGGAAGGGAGGAGGATGGGGACCAAGTTCATATTTCACTCAGATTGCTACTCGAGAAAAGGGAGGAAATGGTTTTGTTTTGCCCCAAATCTTCTACCCACCCACACATCCATCCATCATATAGAACAGTATTTCTGCAGAGAAAGTGTTTGGAGTTTTGCACATTTGATTCCTGGGTGCAACTTCCTTGTTTGTCAGTTAGGTCCTGAACAGAAGGAAGGGGTGTCGAAAGGGGACGATCTAGTCCATGGTGTCTCAGGTCTTTGGGGGATGGAGGCAGAAATGCAGAGGATCTCATTACCCTAGCCCTGGGGGTGGGTCGGCCAGAGGTATACAAATCTAGTGATCTCATCAGTTAAGTGGGATTCCAAAGGACTGAGGGGTAGACAGAGAGTGTAGAGGGGCCCTAGCCCTTTAAGTTTGGAGGCCCAGATGCTTCGAAGGAATCTGGGCGTGGGGCTCAGACCTTGCAAATGGAGCCTTCATTGAAGCCCAGACTCACTGCTGCCCATTCGTGGGCTCACCTCGTTGGTGGGTTCTAATCTCTGCACCCTTGTCTGCAGACTCTAGGAGGGTTGGGCTACCAGCTGGGTCAACTGCCACCTGGCCTCTTGCCCAGGTGTCTCAGGTGTCTGGCCTTCTCCTGCTGACCCTGCCAGGTACCACACAGTGCTTGAAGCTTGGTCAAAGAGATGAGACACTCCACTCCCCTCAGGGTGTCCATGGACCTGCAGGGGAGCAGTGCGGTCAGTGAGGGAGCACAGCACACATGTGCAACCTCATTCAGTCCTCACTCTGTGCCCTCTCACTTGGCCACTGTGAGATGGGGCTGGCACTTGCTGATTTCTAGGGCAATCGTTCGGCTCAGAAGAGGGGTGGGGAGGTGCTTTAGTGCCCTGTTGGTTGTCTGGTGGTGTGACAGGA